TATATACACTATGACTGTAGCTTCAAAATTGTCAATGAGAAATTGTTACGCATTTACACTATAGTGCTATTTGTAGTTACCCTTTATTCTACAGTATACTGGTTAAGTGATAAGGTAGCCCCGAAACTTTTGGTCGCATTTCGACACCTTTGTTTGCTCGTTTTATTCTCTTCCTGCAAACATCTAACTAACAGCACCCAGTGCTAGCTTCGATGGTATGTCTAGGCGATGACTCTGGGGCTCTGCTGCAGAATGAGTGAAGAAGGCGATCGAAGAATCGAAGAGGCAATTTTGAGGTGACGGAGTCCTCCAGTTGAGAGCAGATGATGGTCCGATGCGGAAATACCAAGGCCACATATGGTGGGCATAAGACAGTAGCGTTGTCTAACGTCCTTGCGTTGGAAAATTTTTTTGCTAGATACGACCTCCCCTCGCAGCCGACTGTGTGGTCGAGTTCCTAACAACTAAATTTCCGATGGGAGCCAGCAAAATGCACCCACCTAGCCATACTGCGCCAGAAGACACCTCCGATCATCTTTGAGAAAGGACATTGCAGCGCCGCCGACTAAGGTGGAGAGATATGAAGTGCGTGAAACAGGAAAGATCAACGATTGGAAAAAATTTTTTTCCGGACCAAATTCAACACTCTCCCCTTCCAGCTACCAATTACAAAGCTCCTTTGAGGAGCTCCAACGTAAGACGTACCGTTGACAGTATACCAGCGCAGTCCCTGCGGAACTTGGTGAAGCTCATCCAGACCATGGTACCTGAATTCCTCCCGAAGATGGACAACACAAAATGACCGCGGGCTCTTCTTTCGCATAGCTTCTGCCAACTTCCGGGACTGCTCTTCTCAAATAACGGTAGTGATTGACTATTTGGGTGCGAGCAGTTCCAAAATAGTACGTTCCACCAATGCCAGGAAAATGGGAGTAATCCTCTTGATATAAATAGATCTTGGGATTTAGCTGGGCTGGTTAGTTGTGGTTGTGAAGGAGCCAGGCATGTCTTGGGCTGTACTCGAAGTATTAGGTGCCGTTACACTTAGTGCCATTTTTCCGAAGAAACGGTGAAGCGAGAAACGGCCATTGATACCAGTGGGCGCGTAAAGTTGCTTCTATGCTTCGGCGAGGACGGCGGAAAGGCGTGGAAGCGGAGGGACATGCGAAGCATTTGCACCAGGACCCATTCTCTCAACGTAGCATGTTGCGGAGTGTCGACTCTCTCGGCTCTCTTGGCCTCACTCAAGACCACCAGCTGTCTCTCTCTGCCTGTGTCTGTCTGATTAGCTAGCAGCGGAATCAAGGCACATCGTTGTTGGGGAATCCCCAATAGGGGGGTCGTATTTGGCCGCCAGGAGAGGGGGGTCGTATTTGGGCTGGGAAAAATTTATTTTGATAGTTGATTTTTCTCGCTTCACGGACGTTGTAAAGGGGGTCGTACTTGGTCATTGTTGGGAGGGGGGTCGTATTTACGTTTTTGGCGTTGTAGGAGTGGTGGTTGACTTTTGGTGATTTTCCTGTTTCATGCGTACTATATGCCCCCCCCCGCTCGACGGCTCGATTCGATGAGGAAGGACAGAGGGCCGGAGGGGGGGGTCGTACCCCCCCCCCAAAAAAAAAAGGGGGATCGTGCAGACTCGACTATAGTCCCCAGCCAATGATGTGCCCTGAGCGGAATAGTCCGCTAGCGAGCGCGATGATGCCACTCAAGAATAACGCACCAGGAATAAATGGAGAAGAAATTGTCCATCGAGTTTCTTGTGGAGCAGAGTTCGTGGTGCCGCCCACCCCCATTTCTTAATATCCAGCAGTAATCAAGTTGACGGATCCTGAAGCTCGAGAGAAGGTTCACCCCAAACTTCAAATCATAGGGTAGGCACAAACTTTCGCACTGGGGTACGGCTCTCTATGAAGGCCATAAAATTTTGGAAGAGGCTCAGAAAGCAATTACCAAAATTGCTGGTCGATGTATGAGGAAAAGACCATCAGCGAAAGAACATTCCCAAAATGTTGACCTTCACGGTAACAGGATCGCTGAAAAAGTGATGCAAAAAAACGACATCAAGCATTCCGGTACCTAGTAGGCCGAACATCCATCTCCACTTAAAAAAGGCAGTGCGATCGGAGGAGAAGGCGTTTATGAGTAGTCAAGCGTGACTCTTGAACGATGCAGTACGAGGGCCGTTCGAAGTATTTCTGTATCGGTGTAATTTAGCAATGACGAAGGAATTTAAATCTCTCAGTAGGTAACGACACTACATGATGGTCTAATCGCAAAGTTTATTTAGTTAACAATGGTATTCCAGTTCTCCTTGGTAAACTAAACCCAGAATGACTGATGCGACACTGTTGAGAAAATGATCACTGATTTAAAAAAACTGGGACACTGAGAAGAAAATAAATGATTAGCCTTGTTTTCTTAGGCTGCCTTGACTAGGTAGGATTCTGACTCAGAGGCGTTCAGTCATAATCCCCCAGATGTTAGCTTCGGACCATTGACCGATCGGTCAAGTCCATGAACCAAATGTCTGAACCTGCTGTTCCTCTCGTACTAAGCAGGATTACTATCGCAACAATTAGTCAACAGTAGGGTAAAACCGAGGCGGAGGTGGTGTAGTGACAAGTGGCGCGCTTACCACTCGCGCGGCGCCGGGTTCGAATCCCGGGTCGACACCCGCCCAGGCCAACCAAGCCTTCTACCCTCCGGGGACGGTAAATTGGTACCAGATTCGTCTGGAGGATAAAACACTGACTTGTACATCGGCTGGCCACCGCAAGTCATTGTATAGGCCACATCGCATTCAATAAGCCACTACTTTCTGAGTTTTGGGGGGGGGGGAGACTACATTTAAAAATAAATTTTATTCAGGATTTTCTTCATTTTCCTTCTTACGTGCAACAATTCACTGAACTACCCTCGTATCTTAAGCAACCTTATACCTGCTGGAGATCAATTGGAAGGTCTCTTTTTTATTTCTGAAAGAACCCAAAACGAGTCAGTCAGTTGTTTTCAAATTCGTTTCTTAAAGTTCGCGTGAACCTGTCCCAGTTGTCGATGAAAGGGTTTTTTGTTAGCCGTGACCGGTTGATGTTGTACAACGTTAACCTTCAAATAGTCTACACCCTCAAAAACCTATCATTATCATCACCATTATCAATTTTCACTCTAAAGCGTGTCCATCACCATGGAACCGTGAATTTTTTTACAATGTCTACTCTGCGACGGCGAAATTCAAGGGTTAGGCTTGGTGGTTGAATATTGTTCGACGTGTGCTGCAGTAATCAACATAATAGTCCCTTCTCGAACTTCAAGACAAACTACACCTTCACCTCCGTGGTCTTGTTTCTTGCCATAAGGTGAATGGGTCCGCGGCTACAGTGCACTTGGGCGACCAGCGTTCCGATCGTCGACCACCGTTAGTGACCAGTCAAGCTTAGATGTCGGTCTATCGCGTCTACCCGCGTCCACCAGCCTCCGGGAGTGGAGAGAATGGCGCGATAGGAGGGTAGCAAACAGCTTCTAAAATATGGGGAGATAGGAGGGTAGCAGGCTGCTGGTAGAAGCTGCCGCAAAATATGAACGCGGCCTAATGAGCCACTTTCTCCGCTGGAAAATGCACTGGAGAAGAACTAGAGAGTGGTGATATACACGCGCTGGTTCAGACTCCGCTCACAGACAAAGCACAACCAAGCATCCAATACATGTAGAGCGTATCCTGTGGTGGAGCAGGATATGGTTTGTTCAATCATGCTAAATTTTGGATGCGCCGCGCATTGAGGTCCGCGCAGAGGTGATGGGATGGTGATATGTTTGAGCGTAATGTCTGTCCACGCGAGCAAATGTGTCTATAGGATTCAGGGAGGTCCATGGCGAACCTGTGCACTTGTTTACAGTGTTTTCCGTTGCGTATGATGGAACATGTCCCTGTCGACGCTGCCAGATTCGTGCTCCGCCAATTGCTGATTCCGATAAAGGAGACCAACTGCTGGAAAACGTCTGATACGAACGATATGGTAGTCCTGTCGTTTGTCGAAAAAACAGGTTGGCTCAGCGCCAAGCGCGATCGCGGACACGCCCCATCATCCGCAGCGAACCAGAGTATGAGTTGTACTGTTTAGTCACTTACGAGATGATGTCGACTTTTTATATTTCCAGTTATTTCAGATTAGTTTGATGAATGAAAGTTTTGTACTATTTTTTTACATATCCGAGTTCTCTACAAAGCAAGCTTCGCTGTACAGTACTCAGCACACTGACGCTCGTTACTGGCTACCGCACTCATTACGACCCCCCCTCTCCTGGCGGCCAAATACGACCCCCCTGTTGGGGATTCCCCAACCAACGATGTGCCCTGCTTCCCTCTCATGCTTAATCGTACGTTTGGCTACGATAGGCAGCTTGACGTTCATGACGTTCGCTGCAGGACCGTCGACATCGACACACATGCCACACGCTGATTACATTTCTGTGCACTGTCGCCCTTTGGTCACTAACCGATCACCACTGGTAGAGCAAGAAGGCCGGAGGCGAACACGTCCTGACTGCAATGATATCAACTATACGTCTATTGCTCTCTCCTTTCGATTTGTCTCTTTAATGGGTGCATAAATGTCCGTCGTATCATGTTTCCAGCCTCTCTCGCCACTTCGTCGTCCGGTCTCTGACCCCCGCTTTCAGTTTTTCGCCTTCCAAATCACATTCTGTTATGATGGCTGCGGCACTAGTCTTCACCCTCTCAGTAAAAATGAAAGGCTCATTGATGAAGGAAATTATTCAAGTGATCTTTTTAGGCCGAGTGGAATTTAACACACCTGCAAATAATAGGTTCTCATGAAGTTAGTGTCCAGCGCGTTTTTAGACATTCCATCACTTTCAAACAACGCACGCATGGAGCTCAGCACTTGGACCCATTACCTACATACAGAAGCTGAGTAATGCGCTCATAAGTATTCCAATAACCTACCAACTTCGTTAACATATTTGTAAATGGTTCAAAAATGTACCTATTTCAGACCCGTACTCTCATTCTCCTTGCAGTCGTACTTGCTGTTACATTCGGCGGTAAGTTCGATTCTTTCGAACTGTGATCCTTTCATCGAACACATTTCAATTCTGTAAGGGTGCGTTCATACTTCGCGGCAGCGTGTAACAGCATCCAATAACTCGGTCGGCAGCGTCAGCGATTTGGGAAGTTTAGGCAGCGTTCAGACTTCGCGACGGCAGCGCTTCGGTCGCGCGTTCGACGCGATCGATGCAGTCGAAAGCATGCGCATCGATCGCGTCGAACGCGCGACCGAGCGCTGCCGTCGCGAAGTCTGAACGCTGCCTTAGATATCGATCTAGCGCCTACCAGCGTCCACCAGTGTCACAAGGGCTAAGGCAGCATAGGTATCGATCTAACGTCCGCCAGCACCGACCAGCGACCGGGAGCAAAGAGCATGGGGAAATAGGAGGGTAGCTTATTGCTGGACTAGGCGTCGTGTGCAACAGCACCGCACGGCTGTCACAGCATAGAATTACGCAGTTCAACGTACTGTGTAGTGTTATTGTGCGGTGTGGTTGCACACGACGCAATTTCAAATTTTTGAGCTGCGAAATAAGTACATCCTCCACCATTTGTCGACAAAGCTACGATATCTAAGGAGGGCGTAGGAACATCAAATGAACGCGGACGCTGCCTTTAATAAGACCGAGCACGTCATCCTTGTTCACACGGTTCATTTTCAGCCAAACAGTGCGGACCAAACGAGCACTTCACCCACTGTGGTACTGCCTGTGAACCGAAATGCAATGAGCCGATGCCAGATATCTGCACAATGGAGTGTATTGTAGATGTGTGCCAGTGCGTTCCAGGATTCAAACGAGGACCCAATGGGTGTGTGGCTCCAGGGCCAGGCTGCCAGTGATTCGCAGAAAAATTTCCATGTATTCTTTGACATGAAAGTACCGCACGGTATTACTGTTGTTTACTGTAACACATGAAGAAGTCAGATAGAAATTTACAGAACTCTCCTGATGAGTAAACTTCGTTGCTCTGTCTTCAATAAAAAGTGGATTTGTAGCTGCGCGATTTTGTTAAGCACGGCCACAACCCTGAATCAGGGCTGGTTTGTGATGTACTTCTGGAAAGTGAGGGGAAAACGCAATGCTTATATTTTGGTGTTTTCATCTCACCAATAAGGCTAGATTCCTTAGAGTAGGATGGGTCTACCAGGGGGAAAAAGTTTTAGGTCAGTTCCTCAAAGTATCCATAATACTGGGATGATGACCAAACAGCAGCTCTGTATAACAGGACAACTATCCCAAATGGTCGGTCCTCTTAACGGACGCTGAAAGCATGTTATGCTTAATCTCTTTGGCGAAAAGCATGGGGTCAATAACTTTGCCAAGCCGACCTGGTGCACGCGGGTATGTGACAAAAGAGTCGTAATTTGCCGCGGTGGCCCGCGTGGCGACCGACGTCGCACCGTGACAGACGAGTTCTCCCGCCTCGCCATCCAAATTTGGACTACCTGAAAGTCTGGTAGATAAGTCCTCCATTGGATAGGTCCGCGCGACGTTGCGGCCGCTACGCGTGCGAACACTAATCGGGACACAGTAAGTTGAAATCAGTGTTTATTCTCCGAAGAATCGAACTGCAATAGCATTCTCAACAGACTTGGAGATAAATAGTAAAAGTAGGATTATTGAAGCACTGATGGGGAATTGGATAACAGAAGTTTCAAAAAAAGAAAAGAGAAGGCTCTTTAAGTCGAATGTTCAACGGAGGACTCCTGAAGCAGTTTTAATTCAGTAAATTTTTTCGAGAGGAAGAAATTGAAATCTTGGTTCTGAATGTTATCACAAGAATGCTGAGTTGTGGGCAAAAGTCGTGCCCCAGGCGGGAGTCGAACCCGCACCTCACGCTTTCCGGGCGAGTGCGCTATCCGTTACGCCACCAGGGCCGCTTTTACCCTCTCAACGGCTTTTATGCCGTAGCCTTACAGCACTCACACGTTTAACTTGGTGAGCCGCCTGGGGCACGACTTTTGCCCACAACTCAGCATTCTTGTGATAACATTCGGAACGCGTACTGCGGCGTTAAACAGCAGTTATCATAACAAAACAGCTTCAAAAACTTGTAAAGTCTTTCTTTTGAAATTTCGATTCTATTCATTACAGACCAACCTGCTAGCCAACCGAGAGAAAGACAAAATAATCGAGCAACTTGGCCCATGAGTAATGGCGTTTTTTTGTCCCCCGGGATTAAGCGCTAAAGATGAAAAGTGTTGTCATAGCGTTTCACACCATTTTGCTGAAAATTCCCTGTTCTATTAGCTAGTCCACTTGGTTTTTTTAAATTCTGTTTCCACCGATTTTTAGGTACTCAATTGGAAGTGCCAGGTCGACGAAAGTGAGGATTTTCAAAGCCTTTTTTTACATCTGATTAAAACGCTGAAGCCGCCCAAGTCCATGTGTTGAGTACAGGGTGAGCCAAAAAGTCACTTTTCTTCATTGACTTGAGGCGCTATAAGTTACACTTTATTAAATTCTGATCGGACATTTTTACCACCATATTAAAGAGCATATTAAATACTATCATGACACTCCGCCACAGCCTTCTGGACGAGCGCCATCGAGAGATTCTGCCACGCGACCGTGAGTGGGTACCTGAGTTCAGCGAGATCGTTGATTTCTCCGCCACTGTAGACCACCCTATTGAACTCCGCCCGAACCAGGTAATTGAGGGGGTTTAGGTCAGGTTACCTGCTTAGTTCCACCTTCTTCAGGTACTCAACGCCTTCCATTCCAAGTAGGCAAGAGTTTTCCCAACGCCCTTTGATTCCATGTGGTGTCACCCAATCCTGTAGCAGTACAAAGTTTCCAAGAAGGTACGGGCGACGACATGTGGAGAGGATATTCTTCTCGAGTTGCTCGATGTAACCGCCAGCGCTCACCTTCAGTCCGGGGCCCACGAAGAAAATATCGGTCTCTCCATTCCAGGTACGTCCGGTCCCCACCATCAACTTGGCGACTGAGGTGAAGATGATGTCCTAGACCGTAGCGACGTTGACGGAGCTGCTCGATGATGGAGGTCTTCCAGATCGAGAGTACTGGTCTCCAGGTAGCTATCCATGGGTGACTCCATACTAGAAGTTTCGCAGCTGTTTGGAGGTGACATGAATTCCAAAGGTCTTCTCCAGTCAGGCTGCGACTGGAGATGACTTCATATTTTGGTGTACATGAAGGTGATGGGCGAGAGCCAGCTCCTGCTTATCGAGGAACATCTTGGGTATCTTCCGCCCTGGTACTCGTATCCACGTCCTCTGTCTGGGCAGCGAAAACTTTGCTGATATGTGACTCGGTCGAAGTGACTTTTTTTGCCCCCCCCCCCTCCTCCTGTATATTGCCGCTCAGTGAGCTATGTCCCTCAGAAATGCTTATAACTTTTCAAGCGATTCAGAGATTTCATAGTCAAGCATCGAACCTAATGCTCTTGAGTTCAACTGAAAGCACATAGTTCTCATGAAGGGCCGGCCTGCACATCCTCATTGAGCAACATCTTTACTTGAGGTAGAGGTTCCATAACTTGGATGGATGGGCTCTTTAGGGAGTCTTCATAAGAGGAGGCGCTCATGCAATCACATTTAGAAGGTCCGAATTCCCAACTCGAAGCGCTCAAACCAACTTCAAGCCGTCACAGGAAGCATCGTTCCTTCTTCATATACATCACGAGTTGAGCTGCTTCTGTTATGAGCCTAGATTGAGTGCAAAAAGTTGTTGGCAAATACTCTCCTTTGTGTTGTTCTGTCACTTTTCAACGAAATAAAAAATTAACAAATTTTCAAATAACAGTAGATGTCGACCACACTGCCTTTTAGGGAGAAAGATTATTGATCAAAAAGCATAGAACACATTGGGAACGATTGTCACATTTCATATGAAACTTCATGTAAGAAAAAGCGCACTTTTGGGCCGACCCAATACTTTGCAATTTAAACTCAGAAATATTACATAAAATGAATTTCTACATTTTCTTCTTTCGTTGACTTTGGTTCTATGGAGGTCCCTCTCACTCAGCTTTCTAGCTCTTTCAGCTGTTTGCTTCGAACTTCGTTGGTCTGATCTCCCATCAACTCCTCGATTTCCCGCCTTCTACTTTTTATGGTTACTAGGTACTTTTGTAATCGTGGCTGCTTACTTGTAGAAGAATCTGTATGGGAACAGTTGTTCTGAGAATAGCAGCTCGTTTCAACTTACCTTGTTCTATTAGTGCTCGCGTGTGCGACGGTCGCGACACTGCGCGGGCTTACACCCAAATCTTAGAGATGGGGTAAGCGTGGCTGCGATTTTCAAGTGAGCGTGGCGGTTACTGTGCTTTTGGAGAAATATTTCCATTTTGACACAATTGTGGTCGTGTCTCCATCCAATGCAGAACAAGATGACAGTTGTCTCAAACTGAAATATCCCACGAGTGACCCGTTCTGTGCCATGCTCAAATGCCACGCCTACTCCATCTGAGGGATACGGAGTATATAACAGCGGACTTATCTACCGGAAAATGAATGAACGGGAAAGGGTGTCAGTGAAGCGCGTCAGCCGTCAGTAGATCTGAGGTTTTTCATGCTTTTATATATGAACGAGAATCTAAGAGTTAGTAATGGCCAAAAACGTTTGTGGAAATACGAAAAATATTAGCTTATCCCGTTCAAAAATGTGGAGGGATTTATTCATATGGAAGGAATAAGAAAACATATTAAAAACTAATATTTTTGGCATCAATTTGAGTAGATCCCTCCTCAATAAGGGACCTGCTCCCAATGCCCCGAAAGCAGGACCACTGATACCCTCGTTTCCTTCAATGAGTGCAACAGCTGGTACCCTCCTATAGCACCGTACCTCTGCACTTCTATCTCTACCAGCTGTGCTGCTGGTCGCTGGTGTATGCTGGTAGACGCTGGCAGACGCAAGATCGATACCAATACTTTCCTAGTTCTCTAGACGGTGGTGGACGCTAGTAGACGCTGGGACGCTGGCAGACGATAGATCGTTACCTATGCTCTCGTGTTCGCTAACGCTGGTGGACGCTATTGGTCGCTGGTGCACGCCTCCGCAAAGTATGAACGCAGCGTAAATGATAAGTATGTAGTCGACTTCTTGCACATTTCAAAGTTGTGACAAGGGCATACCTTGCTGACGGTAGAATCAGGTTACCTATATGCCGAGGCAGTAAGAGTTCTTTACCAATCATGGAAATATTCTTTTAAGATTCATTGTATAAGCGGAAAAGTGCGCTTCGGAACCCATGAAATATTGAAGTCGCGCTCGGCGATCGCCTATGAGTCGAAGCGCTGTGGGGATAAATGCAACGGCAAATGGGTCAAAATTTCAGTGCTTTATTTGAGGCCTTTTCGACGGTTTGGTGCCAATTCTTCAAAAGGCTAGCCAACTAAAACAAACATTATGCTCCATTTCTCGACCCCGCAGCCCACAATGATTTCGACGGCTTGTCGCCATTTGCCTCGTAAGTTAACGAACTGCTTTCACGCCCATAGACAGTAGAAGGAACGGTTCCATATTGGCTTCAAGGACTGCACGTGAATATTGGAAAAGTCATCCTCACAATGCTGATTCAGAAGAAAGCGCAATTCAGGTGACAGTTGAGTCACAGCTGTTTACGGCAGTTCTGCGCAACAATAGTCACACTCAACCGTTGTGAGAGGTCGATTCCGAAAAAATTGTTCACTACACTCACTACTCTCGGGCAGGGCATCGAAAACTATGGCAAGTGGTGAGTTTCACTAAATGAGCTTGATCTCGGCGTCAAAGTCGTTCTAGAGGAAATTCAACTTTTATTTCTATATTGACAACCTTTCGCTTCCACTAGTTTACCTATGAGAGCCCAGAAGTCAAGAACCTTCCAATG